GGGTGGCGAATTATTTTAGATTCTCCAACCACTTTCTCACAGGCAGGATGTGGCAAAACTCTCAAGGTTCTATCGCTATTTACATGGAAATTGTCGCCATGCTATTTACATTGTAGCAAACCAACCTCATTTCCTCCGTATTCCATTGGTGAGAATTAAATTCTACTCGAACAGCTTTTTCCCGGGAACCACTGGCCTGAGGAACCGACTCACCAACGGATGTTTCCCCGATCATTACAATCTTAACCTGTTTAAGTTTAGGATTGTCATCCCCACCTATCCGTATAAACTAACTCTTAATGTACCCCTCTACCTCGAGTGTCATCCGGGTCTTGTACCGGAAGAACCGCACTGTTAAAAAAACAAAACAAAAAAAACAAAACCTGACGCTATAAAATCACAAAGACCTTCACTATAAAACAAAAACAACGTCAATAGGGAATATATATTGTCCTTCCATAAGAACACTTCCACAGTTTTGAATGTATCGGATTCAACTGTCACCTGAAATTCTTCAGATAATTTGTTTTAAATTGAGGCAGCCATCTTTGTGTAAACAAAAGGAATGATAGTTGCGTTCAAATATGATATCCTTATAAGTAAACTGCTGTCAATATATTAAGGGAAACGGTGTTTATTCTCATTATTTTCTTTTTTTTAGTCGGTGTTTATTATATTTTAATTCCTCCATCAATATTTGATGAGAGAGGAACGAAAACCTGTCAGCTGATTCTATAATTTTTATTTTTATTTTTCGTTTTACCATTAACTGTGGCCGTAGTTTCTTTCAATTTCTGTTCTTTCTCTTTTCTAGTTCCATGTTGTTGCTTTGTGTTATGCTTTTAGAACTGATCAAATGTCGTGCCTCTAATAAGATCTTTAAATGTAACATCATTTGAACACTTCCAACAGCAGCAACAAAAATGAGTTACACATTAAGCAAAAAGGCAAGAAGTGAACTTTCCACATTACCATAAACAAACAGCTTGAAAGGAAACTACCCTCACTATTAGAAAGGTTTGTAACAGATAGTGAACACGAGAAGTCTAATTTCCTGAAAATGTTTTGAAGTTTTTTTAATAAATTCAGTCGACTTTAATACTCACCGTTCGCGCACAATAATTACGAATGCTTCGTGGTTGGGAGAGTCTAATTCTACCAGTAACATTATCATTGACAGTTTGATGAGTTTGATCTTCATTGGGGATTCTCCTAATAAGATTTTTGTACCAATAACTTTTTATTTCTTAAAATGCTTTTATTTGTATTTTTCAGAAGGCTGTTTTTTATTGGTTGAAATATGTATTACGGCAGGTCGATTTTAGGAACACTTATTTTTGCACTTAATTTAAAAATTCCTTTTTCACATCATAAATAAGGAGGCAAAATATATTTTTCCAAATCTTTACCGTTGTTTGAGGAAATGAGTTTAAAGATTACGTTTCGGTTCAAAATCTTAGCGTTGGAATTTTATCCCGGTCTTGAATGAAAGTCTGATAGCACAGTCTTATAAAATTTATAATTTACTGAAGCTTTACAAATTGTATATGGATAAGATGTATGGCACAAGCTCATTATTACTAAATCATTGTGTCATCAAATAAGATCTTCATGTACTTCAAAGGGGAGTTATACTGAACAATTTAGTCATATTATGATGTAATGTAGTGCAGGGATACCTCGAGGCGGTGTAATTGTTAGCAAGTTAGTCTCGCTAGAACAATTACAACTGAGTAGTGAGTTCGATCCTCACTGGGTGCTCCTTACGTTCGGCCTTGTGCCACATCTAAGCTACGCTTGGAAAATCACTGGACACCCCGAGGCGGTGTAATGTTTAACAAGCTTGTCACGCTAGAACAATTACGCCTGAGTAGTGAGTACGATTCTGACTGGGTGCCCCATGCTTTCGGCCTTGTGCCACATCTAAGTTACGCTTGGAAAGTCACTATGCAGTGCAGTAGTTTTAGTGGGATTTTCAATAAACAATGCAAATTTAAAACATTTTGTCTCGTCATATGTACACAGAAGTATTAGCTATATTTTATCCTTTTTTGACTTTTTATTAATTATGATTTAACAAATCTTATTCATTGAGTAACGTTTTTTGTTCATTTACAATTTTTTTACACAGTTTTTACTTATCGGATACAGTAAAATAAATGAATATTTTGCTTGTGGTGATTCATAATTCGAATTCCAGTTTTTTTATATTTTCCATTTAATTTATCTAATTCAAAAGATATTAACTTTATTTGGATTTATTCTTGAAATAGTAAAATTTTGAAGTCAGTTTGTAAGCAAAAACCTGTGGGAATTAAATTTCAGTATAATTTTCAGACTATATTAAAAATTAAAAGCTCAAAAATTGGTGAAAGCTATGAATCTATTTTTTGATGTCAGTACTTACCACAACAACCTTCAGCTTTCACTAAAATGCTCAGCCGAATTTGTATAAAATGATTTAGAATTATTTATAACATGTTTGTATATATGATCTTTGAATGTTTCTGCTGAGGATGAAAGTGTAGAATCTGTTCGACTTTCAATTTTTCTAAGATGGTATCAGTTAATGCTCTGGATTTTAGATTAGTGAATGAAAGTTGGTTCGTGTATTCCATGACATAGTAAGGGGCAAATAGTAACTGAGCCTTAAAAGGAACAAGAGATATCATCAGATATGAAGAATGTAACGAGAACAATGCCCCTTCCCCGTAGATTAATGGGTTCAATTTGAAATTACCTGAAGGTTATGCGGATCGACAAGTACCCGAAGAAAACGCAGACGACTTGATAATAACAAAGATAATTGTCTGAATGTAAATAATGATGATTTTTAATATCCGAAATTCAGACAGAAATAAAGAAATCATACGCGATTAAATCCGATATTCTTCTTTTATGTGCTATGTCCTTTCAAGACAGGTGATCATGGATCTCCACAACTTCCTGTTTGTTTTATATTCTATGTTAATCTTGACCTTTTACAACTAGTCTTTATCACTTGGGCCATTTCTCTCTAATCCATTTGCTTAAACACCTCAGGTGTATTATTCGTCGCTCGTAAATCTCTTGTCTTCAATTTGCCTTGTGAATGTTAAATTCTCCGGGCATTCTTTCCTCGTTATGTTTTCCACCCAAATTTAACTGTCTCTTTATAGCACTGGTGAAAACAATAAACAGTTATATTGTAGCAATCGGAGAAATAAGTAATATATGTAGTTAAATGGTATATTTGAGCGATATCTTCCGGTAAGTTTCAGTATTTAAACCGGTAATATTGCTGTCATGGAAAGACAATCACTCAAGGAAACAGAATGCTTTCTCTATTTCCAATCCACGCTGCATAAAGGTCGTAGAATAACAACCTAGAATATGCGGTAAGAATGCAATAGACATAAAATTCAGTTCGACAGTTGATTGATTACTGAAACTATCCATTGTTTCACCCCTCTACTCTTGTTTCACGCTTTAGCTGTATCTTCTTATTATATTCCTTATCCCGTCCAAACTTCATTGGTCATCCATTTTTTATCGAACTGTTAAAGATGTTAAAAAGATGTGCTAATTGTTTGACTAAAGATGGAACTCCACCCCAAATTCAAATTGTCATTCGCTTTCCAACTAACATTTCAAATAGAGAAAGAATTCCCAACCAAATCAAATGCTGTCCGAATTGTATTTCGATAACGATCATCAGTCTATGAAGAAGAAATGCAATGTCAAATGCTATCTACTCTCCTCCTGATTGCTCTTTTCTTTCTCCTCATTACTAATGTGTCTGTTGTAGCATATCTACGGTTGATAATTGGCATGTCCCCATTCACATAAATAGTAGTGAATACTGTATGTTGGTCTGCAGTCGCAGATTCGTCTCCAGCTATGCTGGTGAAACTTTCAGCCTCCGGGCAGAAAGAATCCCCAGACGATTCTATGTCGAATAGCAGAGTCTCCTCTCGGGAAACAGCTATCCGACCCCGTTGTATACGTGCTCTACGGAGAATTTTTGGCCGATCTTACAGGATCGGATAACATACATTAAATTCGGCCTTGTGCCACATCTGACCGGATAGGGTGGTTGGTAGGTATCCTTCAGTTAGAGATTAATTGTGGAATTCACTTGACTCACTTCTATCAGTTGACTACTACTTCTACGAGCCGCTGGCGAATCTTATATGTGTTGATCTTGCCCTAAGTATTATCGTTCATTGCCAACCTCCGTGTGATTATCCAATTCAGTAACCTTCCCTAAGTTACAACAGTTTCTTTTCCTAATTCCTCCTCACCCTGTAAGTCTTTCTGTTTTAGTGACATTACTTCCTTGCTTGGGGTGAACTTGGGGTGAATAGATGGACCTCCATTCCAAATTCAACATGTCGTTCTCTTTCTAGTTAACATTTCAAATAAAGGGAGAACTTCCAGCCAAATCCCATGCTGACCGAATTGTATTGCGGTGACGATCACCAGCCTATGAAGAAGAAATAGCTTCGTAGGTTTCCGTAATTTTCCTTTTATAATAACAAGAGCATCTTTCCCGTGAAATGTTAATGAGCATTATTTTTACTCTTCAAAAATGAATGAAGGTTCAACTTCATCCCATTTTGTATATGAAAAAGAAAGGAAGAAGGAAAGAAACAAAGAAACAAAGAGAGGAAAAAAGAAAAAAATTGCTTTGTAAAAAGAAACACGCGTGAATACGGAAAGAGTGGAAGACATTCATTAAAGCAGTGTACAGTTAAAGAAAGAAAGAAAGAAAGGAAGGAGTGAAAGAATGGAAAGAAGAAATAAAAACGTAAAGAAAAATAAAGTTAAATGATTGTAGATAAAAAAAAAACATGGACTAGTGCGAAAGGAAAAGAGATTTTGTAAAGAAAGAACGAAAGACATTGGTTAAAGCCGTAGACAGTCAAAGAAAGAAAGAAAGAAAAAAGAAAGAAAGAAAGAAAGACACTAGTTAAAACAGTAGACAGTCAAATAAATAAATAAAGGCAGACAGACATTGGTTAAAGCAGTAGACAGTCAGTTAAAGAAAGAAGGAAAGAAAAAGAAAGACAGACAGACAGACACTGGTTAAAGGTGTAGACAGACTGAGAATGAAATAAATAAATAAATAAATAAGTAAAGAACGAAAGAAAGAAAAAAAGAAAGAAAATCATTGGTTAAAATAGTAGACAGTCAGATAAAGAAAGAAAAAAAAGAAAGAAAGACATTGGTTAAAGCAGTAAACAGTCTGGTGAAGAAAGAAAGAAAGAGAAAAATAAAAAGACAAAAATAAACAAAAAGAAAAACAAAAAAAGGAAAAATAATAGAAAAAGAAAGGGCTAAAGAAAGCAAAATTATCAAAAGAAAGAATGAAAGGAAGAAAGAAAGAAAAATATCTCAATAATCCGAAGGTGGGTGATGAACGTGACAGTGAAAACAAAACTACGAATTTAGTTCAATGACATCAGCGTGATGACGTCACCGAATGAATCACATTTTCGTGGTCAAGGCGAGATGTCACCGTTATCGTGAGAGTAATTAAAACCTCGTTTAATAAACAAGGGAATGAACTTTACCAAAGATGTATTAAAAAATAAAATTAAATTAAAAAAAAAACGAAGGTTATGGAACTGCTGAGGCAGCGGCCTACCGCGAATAAAAACTGAAGTCATTTTTAATTAAAAACTGAACTGCGCATGCGCGTAAAGCCGACCCACAAACCCAGAAAAAAAACCGGGAGCAAAGAAACATGTGAGGAAGTAATTGAGAGCAGTGTAGAGAGGAAGTGTCTGTGAAGGTAAATGAAGTTGGCTGCTAATGACAAAAAGGAGGTCAAGTATCAAATTTTCACGCTCATCTGCGTGTACAGCTGGAAATGAGTGCATTGGACGAAATTGACCATCTGTGAGAGCTTTCATCTTAGTTTCCGTCGTTTCATCAGTCGTTTCATTTCAGCTTTCTGTTTCTTGAAAATAAAACACTTTCTGGTGAGCAGCTACAAACAGGTTCCCTCACCTTTGTTTTACTTCTTCTATGAGGCGTATCTCTTTAGGACGTTGTTTCAAGAAGTCGCTCCGAAGAGATTCATAGCGACGGAGATGTGGTTTTACAGAAGGATGGTGAGGATATCATGGACGGAGCGTGTGAGCAACGAGAAAGGAAGAGACTTATACATAACATCAGAGGCAGCTGCAGTTCCTGGAACATAATGAGGAAGGAGGGCCTGGAGAATCTGATACTTACAGGTCGAATAGAGGGAGAGAGAGAGAGACAAGGGAAAGCAACGAATGACATACCTAGCAGGCTTAAGGAAGTGGATGACAGAACATGACCTGGGAGAAGTAGCAAAAGGCCAAAACTTATTGAGAGCTACAAGGGGTAGGGAGAAGTGGAGAGCCATGATTGCCTACGTCCTAAAGGGACACGACACATAAAAAGATTTCCTCAAAGATAAAGAGACTCGAGGCGACGGAGATGTGGTTCTACAGAAGGATGCTAAGGATATCATGGACCGTGCGAGTGCGCAACGATGAGGTCTTAGAGAGGATGCAAACAAGGAGAAAGATGTTTATACTTAATATCAGGAAGAGGCAGCTGAAGTTCCTGGGACACAAGAAGGCGGGCCTGGGGAATCTGATCGTTACGGGCCTAATAGAGAGAAAGAGAGACAAGGGAAAACGACGCATGACATGCCTAACGACCTTAAGCAAGTGAATGACAGAACATGGTCTGGGGGAGGTAGCAAAGGGAGGGAATTTGTTAAGGGCTGCAAGGGATAGAGAGAGGTGGAGACCCATGATCGCCTACACCCTGAAAGGAAATGACACTTAGAAAGAAAGAAGAAGGCCGAGTAAAAAGAAACAGTAGAACTTACCATAAGTTGCGAAAATATTACACTTTCTGCGAGGTATAGTGGTCTAATAACTATGGAAGATAACTCATTGAGAAAAAACATAAGAGAGATTTCCTCTTCTTTTATACAACTTATGGTAATACGTTCACATGACCACTGCATCTATAAAAGGTAAATACAGAAAGTAACAAGTTTGTCTGTTAATAAGCATTTCTACAACCCAAGGCACTGTTCCCTTTTCCACCTGACCAAGTCAATGTCTCCCACAGATTCCCGCTAAACTTGAAATTGCCAAATACATAAATTGTTAAATCTGAAAGAAAAAGAAAAATATAATTAGACGCTTAAACTTAATTCACATTTAAAATCGGTCCAAGTTATATGGAATACCCCTTATATCTTCACCTACCTACCAACCTCTCTAATCCGAGGTTGTCCAGTGAAGCCATATCCAGTATGTTTGAAAGAAAACATCCACTTGACCGCATTGGGAGGCTGGCATTGTACTTCCCGCACGATGGACAATAACGCAGGGCATTCTTTACAGCTTGTCTTCCCTTAGGTACCCAGTAACCACGACGTCTCAGTTCGGCCAAGGTTGAGCCAACTCCCAAGTACTGGCACCTGACGTGGTAATCAATTATGATAAGTCTATTTATCGGGCGATGTTAAGCCAACAGGATAGGGTGTTTAACATCCATGTTGAAGTGGAGGGACATACCGATTCTACCGCACGGTCTAATTAGGCTCTCCCCGTCAATAAATAGGTCAAGGTTCCACACCAACTTAGGGACTAACCTGTCTGAAGGATCCAGCAAGAATTATAGTTCTTCAGGATAAGACTGTTGCTGCATAGTCTTCATAAGAAAAATGGCAGCCAGCCCTTCACCGTCAACCTCTAATCGTCTCGAGAGGCAGGACCGTTGTGAAATCCACTTCCTGAATGATTGCGGCACTCAATGAAGAACGAGCGATCTCTTGGCTGCGTTGACTGAGACAGGGTAGTATCTGAGTAGCCCAAAGAGTGGCCTTACTACTTAACCAATTTACACGACGACATCAAAACTGAATGTATGCCCAGAACTTTTTCAATGACCAATGACCCTGGTGACCAAGTCTGCAGGGATTTTTGTGGTTAGTACATAACTCAGTGATCATCTGCAACACATCCTTCAGTCTGTTTCTTGCAAGGATTTTCTTGTTATCAATGGGCCAAGAGAGAATCCAAGAGAGGACCACCTGAGAATATATTGTGGTTGGTTTGAACTCCCCCATAAATCTTCAAGACAGTGGGCTAGAATTTAGAGCAAAGTACACTGCTTAACGTTCCAAGAAGAATTTTTCTTTTCAATGATGCCACCTTAGCCTTGGCAAAAACCAAGCAAGATTGGTGGCTGTGTACCACATAGGCAGCGAACCCATATCCCTCCGGCGATGCATCACAAAAAAGGGCAGGTCACCAGTCTTATCTTCACCTCGGGGAAAGAATTGGTTCTTTATACAAAGACGTCATTTGAAAGGCTGTTCCACCAGGATGAAAACTCCCGTGGATCATGCTCATCCAATCTTAAGCCTTTCTCCCGTAGATTACTTAACAGGATTTGACCGCAATGAGACGGGAAAGTATGGAGACAAGGGTTCAAAGAGTTTTGATACCACAGAAAGAATTTGTTTTTTTGTAGAAGCGTTAGCCTCATGTTCAATGGGAACGATACGTTGCGTATCAGAGAGAGAGAGAGAGAGAGAGAGAGAGAGAGAGAGAGAGAGAGAGAGAGAGAGTTGTACCGACATACCAGGACCTTCTCCGTCAGTTCCACGATTGCTCAGGGTACAATTCCTCTTTCGGGGGAAACTAAGTAGCATGGTACCGGAGAATACAATTTGATATAAAGGGACTAGAGGTGAAGACAAAAATGATTGTGGTGTTCTTGAAACAATGCAGGTGACCTCTGTCCTTCAGAAAAAAAGCAGAATATTTTCTTCCCCGCTTCGATTTCCAGGCAGATCATTAAGAAGCCCTCCTTATATCTGCCAACAAATGTTTATTTGCTTGAAAGGAGAACGGTAAAATTAAGAGGTCGCCTGTAAGTTTCTCTTCCTGGTAGGCAGCCTCGTTATGGGAAGGTGAGTCACTAGTTTTGAGGCTGCAATTGAATGCCAGTCGAATTTCATTGGTGGAGGTAGGATCTTTCTTCAGGACAGGCCTGTAGGGAATGCAAATATACTCGTTCGCGGAAGGAAAGAAAAATCTCCTCTGCTGACGGACAACTCCATATAGTCCAGATAAAGCCGATCACGTTCGAGCGTCCGTACAACATGATCTAACGTACGTAAGGCCACGGAATATTTGAAAAGGACACAAGATATCTTGCCGGAATCATAAGGTAGTTGTAAGCGCTCCAACATCTGTTCGTCATAGTTGGACAATACTTCCTCTTCCCCAGCGACTCCTCACTGAAAACTTTTTCCAACACCCTTTGTACATCACTGTCATGGAAGAAATCACTTAGAATGTCCTCATACGTGTCCCTAGACTCCAGCACAAAATTCAAGTGTGAAGGTTTAACGAGGCGGTAGATTCCAGCATGGAATCAAATTGCAAGGTACTCATAGTCGCCATCCTGGGAGTGCCAAGGTGAAAGAAACTGGCCGCCTTCTCTAAACATAAGCCTTGTTGAAGACGAAAATGCCTACCCTTGCTGACAAAGCACCAGTTGAAGAGGTCTCAGGTGCTGAATTAAATTGAGTCCCATTATTCCTTTAATTGGAATGAAAATGGTGGCTTTGTCAAACCTACAAGCAAGGGGGAATTCGATGCGCTGGAATTCGTCCAACAGAGAGTGCAGTTTTTAATACGAACCGATAAATCTATGTTTCCATTTTCCAATACTGGGAGAGAAAGAGGTCACATAAACCCGACGTCCGTTTCCAGGAATTTCTCATCGAAGTGTTTGTCAGTCTCCAACGAATTTAGGCAACGAACTCAAAGCTGGACAGATAGGTCCGCACACCACCAGTGTCTAACAAACAATTTGCAGAGAGAATCTTACCGTTCCTGCCAAACTATACAAATAAAATAAGAGACAGATTAGTGGAACTCCCAAAATGCGTGCGGAAGGAAGAATTCTTACGGTCTTCGACTGCGTATCTCAAAGAGTTCCTTGTTCAACATTAGGGGTCTAGTTAGGGAATCTATTCCTTTGATAAGGATACGCTTGACAACCTCCCTAGTATTATATAAAATGGTAGACAATGGGGGAATTGTCTTACAAAGGAGCTAAATTATTTCACCCTTAATTTCACTGGAAAATAGATTTATGCCATGAAGCGGGCTTCAGATCTGTCATCGGAGAATGTACAGCCGAAGGAGTTTTCCAACTCTGCCAGAAAAGAGGCAGTCTTAGATATGAACTCAGTGTAACAAAATTATTGGAGAAATCCAGTATGTCTTGGAAAATATTATCTTCATGAAGTTACTCATTTTTCAGGCTACGCGATAATTTTGTTGGAGATGCTGAGATGTTTAGTCAGCAGTAAGCGTCTACCAGAGGGAAAATATTCAAAAGTTTAGCCCCTCCGTGTCGTTGGTCATATCAGACACATAATTCTCAAAACTAGAAAGAAAGTTCCGAAAATACATATGGTCGGAACCTATTTCCAGACAAATGAACCCATGAGCAGTAATCTGGAGCTGCGGTTGTTTCACCACAAATGATGACTGACTTTAATCAACTTCCTAGAAACATGGAGACGACGAATTCAGACAAGTGGCTTCGGCAGGGAGGACCCTAAGCCTTAGATCCTCAAGCTCCGTTCGGAACCCCCGTGAGTATCAGAGACTCCCCTCTCGATTACCTCACAGTTCTCCTCAGTAGACAGGAGCTTAATTTTATCATCACAGATCTCCACCTCTGGCAAATATTCTAATATTCTTTTGCAGGACAGAGATCTGATTTCAGGGAGAGATCCTCCATCTGATGTGCAACGGCTAGAGTCGTTTTAATTTTCGACCTGTGGAGAAAAATCCTTCGTAAGTTCTCCCCGCTTCTATACATATCAATGTAACGTTGAGGTTATTTTTCGAAAGATTTAGAGAAATCTCTCCGAACGAATAGAGACTGATCAGTCCGAGGAAAAGGACTCAATAAAACCTGATAAATAGGCTAATCATAATTGATTACCACGTCAGGTGCCAGTACTTGGGAGTTGGCTCAACCTTGGCCCAACTGAGACGTCGTGGTTACTGGGTACCTAAGGGAAGATAAGTTGTAAAGAATGCCCTGCGTTATTGTCCATCGTGCGGGAAGTACAATGCTAGCCTTCCAACGCGGGCAAGTGGATGTTTCCTTCAAACATACTGGAGATGACTTCACTGCACACCTTTGGATTAGACGTAAGGGGTGTTCCAATAAGCAATAATTTAAGTTGCGAAAAATATTGCCCTTTCCGCGACATATCCCCATCTGATAACTAGGAAGATAATTCACTGAACAAAAAAAAAAAAAAAAGAAAAAAAAATTTCCTTTCATTTTCACAACTTATAGGAACACGGTCACATGACCACTGGATCTATAAAAGATTAATACAAAAAATAGATATTTTGTTTTGTTAATAAGCATTTCTACAACCAAAGGCAAGTAAATCGCTCTCTTTTCCATCAGTTTCTGCGCAGTTGGTAATCACGACTTTCCACCATTTCCTATTTTTGTAGCTCTTAGGAAATGTTATCTTTTTGTTATCTCTCCTAAACCCTGTTTTGCCATTCATTTACAGAAACTTGTTAGGTATGTAAATCACTCTTTTCCTCTGCACCTCTTGTCTTCAACATGTTCTGTGAGAATCAAATTTTCCAAACAATCATTCTTTATTTTCTGTCTCTTTCTGGTGTTAAGTAAAAGTGTCCTTTCTGGTTTCATTTTCTTTAAAACCTCGTCATTGCTCACATGTTCGGTCCATGGTATTCTCAGCATACCTCTGTAGAATCACATCCCCGTTGCTTCAGGTCTCTTCTTCATCTGTGAGGGGAGTGTTCAGTATTCACTGCCATATGAGAGTAGGGATATTGCGTAAGAGTACAGCAAACTTTTCTTTGTTTCTAACGAAACTGTCGTGTTTTTTAATAGATGATTAGCTTTTGAGAGACTACTTTCTATTAGTTCGTATTTCTGTGTCGAAAACACCAGACAAGTTACAGTGTTGCGTTGTTTAGTTTTGTTTAAGGCAATGGAGCAAATATATGTTTTCTTTATGAAACTAATGCTATTAGAGCGATCGGAACGAATAGATAAAGAACTATTTACGCCTTATAGATTACATAAAAAAAAACATTTCATATACCCTGACGAAAGGAAAAGAACACTTTGTAATACTAGGAAGTCTTTATTTATATGAGAAAGATATTCAGATCATAAGAAATCTCTGTTTATTCCTCCCCACTTGAAAATTTGGCGGATCACAATCTCCATTCGCAAATTTCCCGAAATTTGACCTTGTGTCAAACTGAACTATGCTTAGTTAATATAAAAATAGAAATGTGAACTCTTTTAGTGCACGGGCTCATGTATAAGTCAGGCGTGTCCTCGAGCGTTGCCGCATAATTGGGAGGTTTACATATCGGCTTCTTTTTCTATTCTTAGCAAACAACGATACAGAAAAAGGAAAGTTAAAATCAGGAAGTCGTGTGAAAACGAAGAACGCAATTGTTTGCTTCATCCGCGTTTAATTCTTTTTTTTTTCAGTGCAACGGAAACAAAGAAAGAAACGAAAAGAAAGAGAGAGCAGAAGAAAAGGCAAACAGAAAGAATTATTGTAAATTTTTTGGCATGAATTGGATTTCCGCCAATAATAAGAAATCTTATTGAATGATGGATCGACAAAGCATCTAAGAATGTTTAAAAAAATAACTTAAATTAATTCCAACAGGGCGTCTTCCTTGACAGAAATATAAACTCAAGAGAAAAATAAAAAAAAATTGATGTGGCTCACGATTATGTCCAACAGGTATACTTCAAAAACATGAGAAAATAGACAGATTAATATTTATGCCTATATATCAGACCATTATTCTTACCTAAATATACAAGAATAAATCTTTATAGGTAAATTTAAACCAGCACGAAAGAGATCAGAAACACGCCCACATACAGCACCCCCCCACACACACACAGCATACACACATAATGGCCGAATACACTAGTCGGCCCACACAGATATACAAACACATACATACACACACAAGTATTTATGGAGAGAATATATATATATATATATATATATATATATATATATATATATATATATTAAATAAAATCAGACCACTTTAAGGTTCCATGTAATAAATTATTTCACCACAACCCTTTTTAAAGGACTGCGGATCATCAGATGTTACTTCCAAACAAAAAATGAAAAAGAAAATTTACACATTTTTGACGGGCCGTATTAAACATATGTAAATTAACGAAGTGAAAAATTGAGTGGGGAGAGAGAAGACATGAGTGAGTTAGCAGATATTGACACATTTAAACGGTTAACTTAACGGGAGTTATATATTGATATCGAAGGGGTAGAGAAGAAAAAACCCATAAAGAGAAAAAAACCCTGTGTCAATATCTGCTAACTCACTCATGTCTTCTCTCTCCCCACTCACTACCTCACTTCGTTAATTTACATATGTTTAATACGGCCCGTCAAAAATGTGTAAATTTTCTTTTCATTTTTCGTTTGTAAAGTCTGATGATCCGCAATCCTTTTAAAAGGGCTGTGGTGAAATAATTTATTACATGGATTCTTAA